ACGCGGTTATTGCAAGTCAGTGAACATCAGCTCCTAAACGGAGCAGAACAGGATGCTAATCTGTCATCATTTTCCAACTGGTTGGTAATATATAAGTTATAAAGTGAATGAATGAGGCCTTAGTACACTCTGCTGCAAAGTAAGCTAAGCAACAGCTGGCACCAGAACAAACTGAAATTTTAATTTGATAGTAATTACAGTAAAAAAGGTAATGGCAGGCAGGGTTGTGGGAAAATTTTAACAAACCTTTTAACATCACTGGAGTCTCAGCCACTTGCATTGTTTGGAGGTTCCTATTCTTTGTCTCCAAGAGGTCTGTGCCTACCCAGAGCTCAGTGTAACAGAGAGACTGCTGCCTTTTGCAAATCAGGGAACAGCAACGTGGAACCTTATAGTTTAAGTTTACCTTATGCTGTCTACACAAACCCAAGTTTTATAGCCCCGATAAAGCACAAATGAAGCAGATCTTGTTCAGTCATATACAATCAAACATGCAAAGGTCTCTCTCTGCTCACTTGACCTGTCCTGAGAGAAGCCTGGTAGGTTTGAATTACACCATTGGAGCAATTCCTAATCACCTGTGGCTACAGAAATACAGGCAGGATTTTCATCAGCTGACATGTACGCAAAACATCTCAAGGAGAAATACCTTCCAGCAACTAAAGGGCGTTTCTCAAGTATCTATCACAAGGTTGTCCAGAACCAGCTGCTTATATGGGCATCCATTTTCATTTAGCTTTTGTTTAAGTACTTTAACTGCAGTCAGATGAAGTAGTTCCTAGAAGAAGCTCTATGAAATAAAGTTCACTGGGTGGCATGCTCTGAAAGACCTCTTGTGCAGCAGACAGTGGGTAGGTGTCACTAAAATATTGCTCCCATCAAAGGGAACCCCTCTCCTCAAAGTCAGACTTTGGCAACATCTAAACTATGGGTCCCAGATGCGTATGAACTTTGGTCCACAAATGCATCCTGGCCATGCCCTGACTCCTTGCCAGGGTGGCATAGGCAGTTACACCCCATACAAAAGGACTGATGGATGCACAGACCATCAAGCATGCAATCTGTCTCAGCCCCAGTTCCAGTGCAGATAGCTGGTGGCTTTGGGACTAGGCTATGTCATGAGCATGCCAGCTCTGAAGTCTAAATATAACCGGCCTCAAAGATAAGCAAAACAGATCTCTGTGGCTAACAGGACACATACCAGAAGGGACAAAAAGAATCATGATCAGCCGTTGTAAATCCCAGAATAACAGTGATAAAAACCCACTGTATAATACAATGATCACAGCATGCTTGTGCCTTCCTGTCAAATTACCCATTGTCAGACCTCTCCTGCAGGGTTACCATTCCCTCTTCTTTCTTTGCTCTGTTTAAATGACAGTTGAAATCTATTTTTTGCATTAGGATACAAAAGGTCCTGACCTACTCATAGCATTTCCTCAAAGAAAGAACAGGGGAACAAACGGTGGGGTCAGAAGCTCTGCCTCTGTGAGTTGGGAGAAACAGTTTCTTTATTTCTTGTTCACACAGGTGAGCATCCATAGAATGGAAACCAAGGCAGGGGTTTATTAGAGCTAGCAGAAATAGGGCTCGGTCTTCACTTGAGTGAGTGAACTCTGGAAAATTTAACTGCGAGTAGCCAGAATTTGCATGCCTTCACAGTGAGTCACATGGAGAAAGGCTTCGTGGATTCTTGCCTTGTGATAAAAGAAGTCCTTCTCCCTTTTCCAGAGAAAACCATCAATGTATTTAACCACTAGATATTGTGCAAAAGCCTGGTAAAGTGGCTGGAGTGTACAGGGGACGTGTGCTAAGAAGGTTACTTGGTTTTATTTCATTTGTTTGCCACCGTAATGCTTTCTATTTGTTAATTTGGACTTTGCCACCTGTGCTCTATAAAGAGCCAGCATTTCCTTGTAAGTGGGAAAGCCAAAGCATTCTTTCCATTTCCGCACGAACAGATGTAACACTCTGCAGCCATGCCTCTCCACCACAACCGCCCCTGGAAGAAATACACCCTACTTAAGCACTGATCTCTGAGCATTGCCTCAGCTCTGAGGAGCGCAGCAAGAGGGTGCCCGCAGCTCTCCTTTGATGTGATGCAGTGTGATGGGAGACCAGTTCCTCACAAGTGCAGTTTCAGAGTTTCTCAGACCAGGACCTTACGACCAGTGAGGCAGGGCTGTGCATCTGCTGGACACCGTAGGCATGAAGGTTTACACAAGTCCTCCAGGTGTAGTGGTGCCAGTTGTGTTGTGTGCACTGGCAGAGAACAGGGCTGCCCACTGGCACACCCACGGCAATGCGTCTGCATAGCACATATAGAAAGAGATTTTACCAACATATCATTTTCTTTACTTCCATTATTTCATACTATTTTGGGAGAACACCAAAGCTAGGCTAATCTTTTAAAGCAATTTGTTCTTTACACTTAAGAGAGAGCCTCATTTTGATTTTTCCTTCCCCATAGATGGTATGTGTTTGGAGCTCTCAGTAGCATCCAGGAAGGCACTGGGAAGCCTTCTGTGACATCATACAGTTTTCTTGTGGAATCCCATTAATAGTTGTGGCTATTCTGTCTTTACAGGAAGATACCACTTCTGCCACTGTCCTTTATCCTCACTGCTCTGCCACTCTTGCTTCTCTCCTTGTGTCTTCTGCACTGAGGGAGTTTACACTTTGGGCTAGAGCTCATTAATTTCTGCCTCTATGTTCTTTGTATTTATTCTTCCCACAGGGGTTGAGACTGGCAGGCTGAACCTTGGTAACGTTCAGACAGCAGGCTGCCCCTGACATGGCTTGGCAGTGACTCAGGGACCACATTGCCCAGGAGGGAGAAACATGACAATCAGGTTGGCCACCTGAGTGCCACAGTTACCTCCCCACACTATGTGTCCAGAGGGAGCCAGGTTTGATGACCCCATGGCACTGCCATCAGCCATCACGCTGGCTGCTGCAGTGAGCACCACCCCTCGGCACGCTGCCAGAGCATGAGATGAGCATGGGATAGGGAAGATTGTTGCAAGGAAATGCAAACAGAATGAGCAGGCAAAGGTTCACTGGGGGCCAGTAAAATAGTAATGCCAGTCCCCTGCCCCCAGGCCCTGTCTCCATTAGCGCTGCATAGCGCCGGTGTCACAGGGTTGCAGCCATCCTGGGAAGCACAGAAGGCAGCAGCTGTTTTCGCCAGTGGGGATAAAGCAGTTTACAGGTTTGCTGAAATAAGGCATATCCTGTAAGAAAAATGTACAGGCTCTTCCTTACCCTGGGGTAGTTTTATTCTGAATCATGATTTGTCTTTTGACTGTCCCTAGAATGCCATGTAGTTGTGTCAGTCTTTTGCATGATTACCAGAGCGTGGTGACTGGTGCAGGATGAGCAGGATGAGGCATTACCATGCAAGGACACATTACAATGATGCCTTTCAGGGAAAACAACAACAACCAAACCAAACCAAACAGATGTGGAGTAGAGCCAGTGTCACACCGAAGAAGGTCACAAGCACTATGCTGGAACTGACTGTAGCCCCAGCTTTGCTCACAGCCAGCATCAGTGTTCAGCCAGCCCCCTATCAGCTGAGGCTTTAGAGCGGCAGCCGCTTTGCAATTCACAGTCATTATTCTGAGTTTCATTTACCACAAGCAAATTTGCTCCCTCTTGCTCAGGAACAATAAGAGAGTTAACTCATGAGCTGCCTACTTTCACAAAGTGCAGGACTGTATTTAGAACAAAAACATTCAGAGAAGGAATGAAGGCAATGAATATGGTATATTAATGCTCTGAACTCCAGGAATTACCTAAAAATGCCCAAGAAGTAATAACTCAGTTTTTGTGTTTTTTTTTTTTTTTTTAATGTGTCCTTCCAAATGAGTCATTTGCTTGATGGCAGAGCACAGCTTTGGTTTTGGTGTTTTTTTTTGTTGCTGTTGTTTTGTTTTTGTTTTTGCTTTACAGGCTCTTGAACCAGAATAAACCACTTTAATCCCGTTTATTTAATATTTAATGAAACAGTGCTCCGGTCTCAGTTTCCCTCTCCGTTGGCTGAGTCTGCTTTAAGTTACAGTGACAGGAAATGACAGATGAAAATGACATGTCGTTTTACCATGCATTTTTTGCCAGTGGAACTCAAAAGCATCTCAAATTCATTAGCGCCATTTTACAGATGAAATACTGAAACACAGGGCAGGAAATGCTTCATCTGCCAAGCAGGGTGGAGCCGGGAGCGGGGCACTGCAGCTGCTCTTCTCTGCTGTGCTGTCAGAATGCATTTTGATTGATGAAACTGTAAACAAGGGCAGTAGGGCCGTTTTGGTGGGTGGCAATGACGCTTCTCCCTTCGAAACCCTGAAGATGCTAATGAATGTGTGAGACGGGACGTATTTTAATGGAGACAATAGGGATTCGTGTTTTTGTAAACAAGGTTTTGGGGAATATTTATCTTATGTTGGTAGGTATCCGGGGCCAGTGTTTCAAACACGGATTGACAGGGATGATTTTGCTTCTATAAAGGGGCCAAGGGCGACATTACTGCCCGCGCAAAACCCGTAGGAAGCAGTGCCACAGGGACGACTCCCTCTGCCCGCGGCTGAGGGCGGGCGGGCAGGCAGGACACGCCGCCAGGCACAGCCCTTCCTGAGTGCCATCAGCCCCAACCGCCACCAACCGCCTGTGCCATGGTAACAGCGCAGGCAGAGAACAAAAGCCCGCCGAAACGTCACCGCCAATCAGAGCTGGCTCCCGGCGGCGGGGGGGTGCTCTCACCCCTCCCTTCCCCCATAGGGGCCGCCTGCATCACCCAAGAAGCATCGGGGCGAGCGGGCCGCCTTTCCTTCCGGTGCGCGGCGCGCAGGTGCGGGAGGGAGGCGCTGATTGGCGGGGGCGTCCTCGTGCGATGATGACGCGCTAGGACCGGGAGGCGGTAGCGATTGCGGCAGGAGGGGGGCGGCGCGGGGCGGCGGCGGCACCTCGCGGGGCGCCAGGGCGGGCGCTGGCCGTTGCCAGGGCGCGCGTTGCCAGGTGAGCGGCAGAGCCGCGGAGCTTCGGAGCGTCCCGCCGCGGGGCCGGGTAGGGAGCGGGGTGGGTGAGCGGGCCTGCGGCGGGGGGCGCCGGGTCGGCGGTCGGGGCGCTACGTTGCGGCGCTCGGAGGGGCTGAGGGAGTAGGCCCGGGGCAGTCGCTGGGTCGGGAGTGGGAGAACGCGTCCTGCGCCCGGCTTAGGGCACTTGTTGCTGGTCGGGGCGGGGGGGTGGCTGCGGGCCCTGGGGTCCTCGGGAGGAGCGGGGAAAAACATAGCGCGGTGCGTGGGAGCCCTGCCCGCACGGTGTGTGTGTGTATCGATATAAACACCGCGGCTCTCAGCAATAGGGAACACAGGAATTGGGCGGCAGCGCGGCCGCCATCCTCGTATTCCCGAGTGAGAGTTGATTTCATTAACTTTTTTACGAGTTGTTTTCCTCTGAGGGGTAATCAGGCTCCCGTCTCCTGTGCGTTGGGGATGATAAGAAAGATGGTAATCAGCTGGAAGCCAAAGCCTGGTGACAGCTGCTGCTCCTAGGGAGCTCCTCAAGCAGCCTGTGGGGTTTTTTTGATCTGCTTTAACCTAATAAGTCAGTTGGTTTAGTGGCTATTGTGGGTTAGCGTATGTGTGAGAGAACCCTTAAAGTGAAATTGGAACTTCTTTGGTGCTAGGGCTTTGTCACTGTGTACATAGACGTGTAAACAAGCAACTGTCACAGTGGAAAAGCTGTAGATGTCATTCCTTAGTTAAAGATCCTTCTGAGTCTTAGTCCCATGCTGAATTCTTCTAGTGCTTGAGCTGTCCTATTGCAAACTCTGTGTATTCCTTAACATGGACCTTAACGTCGACTGTGTCCTCTGGGCAGACTGTGCTGCACACGAGCTGGCAAGATCCCAGAGTGTAACTTAAGCTCTGTGTTCAGTGCCTGGCTGCAGTCGGTGTCTGGGAGCACTGAATTCCAGGTTATACTTTGACTGTGCTCTTCATGGATCTGTCCCAGAATCACCGCAGAGTCCTCTACACAGTCCTTTTGGAGCTCCTGCTTAACGAGGCTGTTTCAAAAATGCCTGACAGACCAATGTGTGTCATGGAGCTATGGGTGCAGCCAGTCATAAAACACTGCCTGCTCTCTCTTTCTATCTTTAGTTCTGACTTGTTTTCCCCTATGCAGAAGGGGAAGTGATCGTGTTTTAGGTTTCTCCCTTCCTGTAGGGGTACCAGGCAGTTCCGGTTACAACTATTTTATGCTGTTGCTCTTCATGGAGAGAACGTATAATGTGCCATTTTCAGCTGTCCTGTGACACTTCATCCTGTGTAAATGCTGTGTGTGTTAGTGGGCAGTTTGCAGGAAGCTCGCTGCTGTTTTGGACGTGTAAAGTTAGCTGCTTAAAACATAGCAATGACTCCCTGCTCTGAGCTGATTGCTAAATATTTTTAAATAAACCTCTTGGTAAGGCTGTTGGCAGCTTCATCGTGGCAACCCTGAGGAAGAGTTGCTAGTGCTGAATCAGAATGGGCAGTGGCAGAGCTAAAAGCTGCAACCCAACTTTGTCTGGTTTATCAAAATCATGCTGTAAAATGGGATGGGTGTTAGAGCATAAACTGCATCAGACCTTCAGCTGAGCCAGACACAGGACTCTGCTCCACCACTTCAGTCTGTGACACGTTGCTGGAATAGTATCAGTGCTGCTGAACTGGTGGCCCTCTTGTGAGTTTGCCCAGGAGCTGTGTTTGGGGCAGCTATGGGTGAGACTCAGACCTGAGCCCCCACTCCTGGATATAGGGTGGAAAGGCTGGGCTTTGGAAAGCCTACATTTGCTCGAGGTGAGAGTTTGTGTTGATTTGTCATGAAGGAAGATTAGCAGGAATTGGCAGGGCGTGTAATGCCAGTGATTGTGATGCTTGGATCTCTGTTAGTATCTTTTGTTTTCTGTTAGTATTCAAGGAGCGGTGTCAAGCTTTTCTGTATAAAGATTCTCAATGCTAGGCTGTTAAAGTGTGAGTTTTGCAGGTTTCTGGTTGTGTAACTGTATTGTTCAAGATGCTGTGCTGGAGAAACAAGGCTTGCTTTCATTAGTGTCTGTACATGAGGAAAATCTTGATAAGGAAACTTCAGGCAGTTGTTGGATTGTTTTGTTGTTATGCCATCAGTGATTCAAGTGCTTAAATAGAAGTAGTTCTGAAATGGAAATAGCAAATCAGAGTATTTATGATCTGAAAGTCTGTCTGAGTCATTCAATGAATTTTCTGGCAGACAGTGTGGGTAGATTTGAAAAGATGTTCTTGCACAAGATTTTGGTAGTGATGGCAGAAATGTACTTGGGACAGTGTTTAAGGGGAAGGCTGCTGCTCTGAGTTGTACCATCCTCTAATAAAGCTCTAAGTTCTTCCTGCAAGATGTTCTATTTCAGATGGTTGTACCCTGTGTAGTGACCGTCTCTCTTTGCTTTTTTGAAGTAACAGGCTTGTCAAGGCAAGTTCAACCAAGACATCCTTTCTTAAAAAATAAGAATATTTATAAGAATATGTAAAACCAGTGCCAACAAACTTGGCACTGGTTTTGCTTCTTCAGAGAAAAGGTTTCTGAAAACATGTTTAACTTTAGCTTGTTTATGTGAGTACGTTCCAACCCCCAGAATGCTTTATTTTTGAAGTTAAATGTTACGGATCAGGATGTAAATTACTAAGAAGCAGAAGTTATTTCCACATAGCTCCTGTTGCAGCAGAGCTTTGAGGAGAACGACCTCTTGCCTTCCATCTGGCCACAACTCAGTAAGACTCAGGCTTTTATCATTAGGTAACTGTAAACCTGAGCTGCTCGGTGAGTACATACGTTCTCTGGAAAGTTCTTATCAATGGTGTGATGCAAAAATAAAATATTTGTCTTAGTCCAGTTTGAAGACAAACATCAAGGCTTACTTTCAGGGCACGATGACAGTCATTCTGAATGCAACAGCTACTCAGCATGTCACAACATGGCAGTTGGGGTGGCAGTAAGCAGCTGGCCTCTCCGGAAGGGATGTGCCACAGCTTTTACTATTGCTGTTGCAGTTGGGCTGACAGCAAAACTGACAGTGTGGTTCAGCTAGTTTTCAGCAGCTGTGAAAGTGCAATGGAGTCTGCTGCTGGGGTGTGCCAGCTGCTGTTGCTCTGAACAGGGCTAATTATGCTCTTGTGAGAACAGAAAATAGGCGCTATTTACGGGAAGGCAGTGTTGGAATAGGCAGTGCTGTAGTCCTTGGCTCCGAGACGCCTTTGGAGAACAGCAAATGAGAGCAGACGGTTTACTGGTAGGATAGATTGGAGGTCTGTTCTGAAGTACTTAAAATGAGTAGAACACTGCATTACAAACTTCTTTGGGGATCTTCTGTGCTGAAAATTCTGCTTTCAGTAGCTACAGATGTTATGGTGCTACAAGATAGCACACAGACAAGGTAACATGAATTCATGGAATCATAGAATGGCTTGGATTGGAAGGGACCTAGAGGATCATCGAGTTAGTAGTGTAGTTCCAAACCCCCTGCCACAGGCAGGGCCACCAATCTCCCCATTTAATACTAGATCAGGCTGCCCAGGGCCCATCCAACCTGGTTTTGAACCAGGGATGCCCAGGGATGGGGCGTCCATAGCCTCTCAGGGCAGCCTGGTTCCAGCACCTCACCACTCTCTCTGAATTGTAAAGCAGTGTGAACTGTTATTTTTTTTTTTTTAAATGCAGTTCTGGTCATCTGCTTATTTAAAGGTGTGCTCCCATTGATTTATAGGTACATGAAAGCTGTTTTTCACACCTTTTCACCTCATTTCCTTCCATCTCAACCAAAATAAACATAATTTTCCTCAATCTTTTTGGTCCCACTTGATCAGAGGATTGCAGAGAACTGCTGTACCCTGTTTAAAGCCAAGGTCAGTTGTGCTGCCCTGTTTAGGTCTAGAGGATGACAGCTTATATGGCATAGGTTTAGCTGGGGGGATCACTGGGTATGCTAAGCAGTCCTCTTGGGTGGTTTTGCTGGTGAGAGTCCTTTGTGGCCTTCTCTCTGTTGTAATGACAGCATTCTGGTAAGGCTGCTGTTTAGCTCCTTACTTGTGCATGAGCTTGCTGCTTGACTAGACTTATCTCCTCAAAATGTTATTGTGTGATTTAGGAAATGGGATGTTTATGAATATTTGAGTAAACAGTCTGCTCTTAGGGGAGAACGTGCCACAGACCTTCTTGAGGTATGAAACTTTTTCTTCATGTAGTTCTGCAGTCTGATTTCTTGTACAAATCACTCGGTGGGTGACGTGTCCTGGGGCCTGCTGGTGTAATAAGGGCACCAAGCCAGCATGTCTGTGCGTGGCTCCTGAGTCTCTGTGAAATGGAGAACTTGTGATGAAAATGGAATAACTCTACACAGGCAGTAGAAGTTGTCTTCTGAGAGCAAATGACACCTCTGGCTTCAAGAAGACTTAATCTGAAGGATAAAATTCCTGCCTGCACTAGAAACTCTTAGATCTGTCTCCCAGTATGCAGTGGGAGCTGTTTGAAAGACCCATGCAGTGCAAAGAATAGCCAAGACCAGTTATCAGTCTTGAGAGTATTGGCAAGCATTTACCTTCTTCAGGGAAAGTTATTTTAGCCTTTGGAACGGGAGAGTGGATAGCTTCTTGGACCTGACCTTAAGCACTGCTGAATATGTACTTCAGCTTCTCCCAGCTGACAGTTTGGGCATGCTTTTGTGATGAAGAATTCCCCCCACTGTGTTTTCTGGTGGGCTCCTCTGTGTGATTTAGGGTTGCTTTTGTCTGGAGTGAACTGGTGGATGCTTTAAGCCTTGCTGTCCTTAAGTTGGTGGAATTTGTGGGCATGCACTGCATAGTCAGGTTCTAGTGCTGTGATGGTAAGTTGATGCTGCCTGACTTTATGACTCGTGATAAGCGTCTTTTGCATGCAACAAACCACATGCTTTGCAGGTGGTGGCTTTATTTGCTTTAGTTTAATTGTTTATGCCTCCTTTTTGTAGAACAGCATTATAGCATTGCAAGGTTGATAACAGCAATATTCTCCTG